ATTTACCCAATGATTGATTAAGCCAGAGAACTGAAAAACAGAAAGAGTTCTGGCCATGAAGACAATAGTCAAAACAATGCAAATTTTAAAAACTATTCTGTATGAATTTCATCTTTAGCAGAAGCAACCAGGTGTTTCATTGGAACCTGGAGGGGCTCAATATTTTATTAAAACTAACGGATTTTTGCTGATGGTCTCACATCAGAGTTTAGAATTTTTGTTTATTGCAGTTTGAGATAGCTCAACTTTGCTCCTAAAGAATGAACTAAAATGCCAAAGAATGGATTAATTTTATTACTTGGTTACCAAAGAGTTACCAAAGAGTTTTTATGTTTATTTTCCCAGTGCAGATACTAACAGAATCCAAAACATCATGTTGATAAGAAAAATGAGTAAAGACAAAAAATGAATAAAAATAGAGATTTTACATTTAAAGAAGATTTGTGTTTAATGTATATTATTCATTAATAACAAATTCCATAAGCAGCACTAAAAGGCTTAAACTCTTCAAAGGCTCAAATAAAAACAATAGTTTTGGGCTCCAAATTCTTTTTGAAGCCTCAAGGAGTCTTTGCAATGGATTTTCTGAAGTAAATTTTTTGGGAATTAAAATAAAAGACATGAATACCCTGCATAGAAAGGTTTATCCTTCTAACAGTTTTTAGAGGAAGAACAACACTGAAGGGCTTTTACTGGCAGAGCCTAGCCTGTAGCAGTGGCTCTCAAGATTGGCGTTCCTCTAAAGTTCCAAGGAGACATCGCCGACTCATTGTCTAAGGCCTTCTGTACACTACCAAGTTTTGTTGATAAAAGGCAGTTTTTGTCGACAAAACAGTGAATACGTACACACTGTGATGTGACTTTTGTTGGCAAAAATGCCCTGCTTTGAAGACAAAATACAACCACCCCGAGAGACAAAAATCTTTTTCCTCTAAATTTTTGTCGACAAAGTGCCAGTGTAGACACTACACCTGATTTTATCGCTTTAATTGGCCTCCAGGAGGTGTCCCACAATGCCCATCGTGACCGCTCTGGTCAGCAGTTTGAACTCCACTGCCCTGCAGCCAGGTAACCAACCATCTGCCCCTACCCCTTAGAAGCACCGGGAATTTTTGAAATATTATTTCCTGTTTGCTCGGTGTGGAGCATCTTCCCAGGTGACCATGGCAGGTTATTGCAACAAACGCTCTCCCACTTGGACCACTGTGTGGCTGCTGGATCTGCTCAGTATATGGAGAGAGGAAGCTGTGCAGTCACAGCTGCGCTTGAGCCGTAGGAATTGGGATACGGGCACATTTCTTGTGTGAAAAGAGCTATGATCAGCACATGCTGCAGTGCAGAGCAAAGATAAGGTAGCTGAGGCAGGAGTATCATAAGGTGAGGGAGGCAAACCGTCACTCCGGTGCTGCACCTAAGACCTGCCGGTTCTATAAGGAGGTGGACACTATCCTCAGTGGCGACCCCACCTCCACTGCCGAGCCCCGTGGATACTTCGGCGGGCCTGGAGGCACTGCAAAGAGGACCTAACCTGGAGGACGAAGTCATTGATGAAGAGGTAGAGTTAGATGATGTGGAGCTCCCGGTGGGGCAGGCAGCCAGGAACTGTTCACCACTCCAGAGGTGTCTAGCCAGTCTCAGCAGTTACTCTCCAGTGAGCAAGAAGCAGGAGAGGAGACACCTGGTAAGTGCCTGTGGTTTGTGTAGTGTGGAGGTGGGTTCAGGATATAGAAATGTGGAAGGCTGGCTGTGTTTCTGTGAGCTGGACATTTCCCTATGTAGCTAATCAGTACGGCACAACAGGGTGTTAATGCATGTTGAGATCTCATGGGAATCCTCCAGCGAGATCTCCAGGAAAGTTTCCTGGAGGTACTCGGAAATCCTCTGCTTAAGGTTCCTTGGCAGAGCAGCTTTGTTCCTTCCCCCATTGTAGGAAACTTTCCTGCGCCATTCGGCAATTACTTGTGCGGGGATCAAAGCGGCACACAAGTGAGCAGCATAGGGTGCAGGGTGGAAGCCAGAAGCATGTAGTAGATGTACCTTCGTTTCCCTGCTTACCCTTAGCCATGAGATGTCTTCTAGTATGACCCCCACCTCTAGAAAAGTGTGGGAGAATTTTAGAACTTTCCCCCCAGTTCCTTGCAGAGTGAGTGCTCTTTTCCCCATATGGAGCCCCCTTCCCCCTGCCAACACTCACCATGCTTTGGGTGTTCGCAGAGCTGTGTGCTTGCCCAGGGTCAGTGAGAAAGTGATTGTTATGTTGCAAAGAGTGTATTTTACTGAAATGTTTCAATGCTGTGCATGAATTTAACAATCATGCTTCTGTGCATTGTTCCTTGGGCTTCAGCAGATGTGGCCTTCAGAAACACCCGCACACATTGGCCAAGCGTCTCTGCCAGATAGGAAAGCGCCCAAGACAGAGCAAAGAAGACATGTTCCGGGAGGTACTGCACTCCTTCAATGCAGAAAAAAGGGAATGCAAGGAGTACTGGGAAGTTGAAAGGCAGGACAGAAAAGAAAACCAGGAGTTTGTTAAGGACGCTACTGAGCGGGTGATTAAAGTAATGGAGGAGCAAACGCAAATGCTGAAGTCCTTAATAATGCTGCAGACCAAGCAGATCCATGCCCACCCTCCCCTGCAGCACATTCAGAATTCTTTTCCATGTCCCCCTCTACCCCAACTCCGCCTGCACAGTCCTTTCCACTTTCTGCGACTTCTAAGTTTCCCCTTCACTCCACCCCCTCGGACAACTTTCATAATGATAGCTGGACCTACACGCAGCTCTGAAAGTCTGCCCCTCCCTGGTACCTCCTTTCCCACCAAGCATCTTTGTGTGTTTCTGTGTGCTGTTTCTTGTGCAATAATAACAAAATTTTTGAATGGTAACTCATCTTTATTTGTTTTCTACAAACAGAGATAGTAGGCACTGCCAATACATACACAGGTAGTTTATTCATGTGCTTGCTGGAATGTAAGGCCCCAAATGTCACCATTACTTCCTAGGAAAACTACATGTAACGTAACATTGCAGCACCAATCACAGAGATATACATTACTGGTTCTCATTTTCAAAGTGTTGCCTCAAAGCCTCCCTGATTCGAACTGCCCCCCTCTGTGCTCCTCTGATAGCCCTGGTATCTGGCTACTCGAAATCAGCAGCCAAACAGTCTGCCTCAACACTCCACCCCTGTGCAAACCTTTCACCCTTAGCTTCACAAAGATTAGGCAACGTACAACATGAGGCTATGACAATGGGAATATTATCCTCATTAAGGTCTAACCTGCCATAAAGGCATTGCCAGCGCGCCTTTAATCTGCCAAAGGCACATTCCACTGTCATCTGGCACATATTCAGCCTGTTGTTGAACCGCTCCTTACTGCTGTCCAGGTTTCCAGTGCAAGGTGTCATGAGCCACGGCTGAAAGGGGTACACCGGGTTTCCCAGGATTATGCTGGACATTTCAACATCCTCCACTATAATCTTCTGGTTTGGAAAGAAAGTCCCCACTTGTAGCTTTCTATACAGGCCGGTGTTCCTGAAGATGTGTGTGTCATGCACCTTCCCGGACCACCCCGCATTGATGTCAGTGAAACTCCCAAGGTGATCCACAAGTGCCTGCAACACCACGGAGAAGTACCCCTTCCTATTGATGTACTCTGTTGCAAGGTGGTCTGGTGCCAAAATTGGAATATGTGTGCCATCTATCGCCCCTCCACAGTTAGGAAAACCCATTTCAGCAAAGCCATCCTCAATTTCACACACATTTCCCAGAGTCACGGTCCACCGTAGCAGGATGCGATTAATTGCCCTGCACACTTGCATTAACGCAGCCCCAACGGTCGACTTCCCGACTCCAAATTGATTCACGACCGACCGGTAGCAGTCTAGAGTTGCCAGCTTCCATGCATCAATTGCCATACACTTCTCTACTGATAGGGCAGCTCTCATTCTGGTATCTTTGTGCCGCAGTGCTGAGGCAAGCTCCACACAGAGTTCCAGGAAGGTAGCTTTCCGCATTTGAAAGTTCTGTAGCCATTGCTCGTCATCCCAGACCTGCATGATGATATGATCCCACCATTTAGTGCTTGTTTCACCAGTCCAAAAGCGACGGTCCACCCTCTGCAGCTGTTCTGTGAATGCCAAAAGCAATCAAAAGTTGCTCCTATCCATATCCCACAGCATGTCAGGCGACTGGGAGTCTTCTTCACTTAGGAACTTCGCGATTAACTGCATTGCCATCCGCGATGTCTTGATGACAGTAACAGAGCATAGGATAGCAGGCAAGGATCCATCCTTCTCACAAAGATGCTGGGATGCACAGCAAAGAAGGGCCATTGAAAAATGCCACGAAAGAAAGCTGGAAGCCCATGGAGTCCTGGGACTGAAAGCAATGCATTATGGGACATTGAGCCTGGCCCCTCGATGTGCTGCGATCCGCTCTGCCTTCCCACAACACCTAGCGACAGAAGGTGTCGAACTGAACTGTGGGATAGGTACCCACAGTGCATTGCTCACACTGTCGATGATAGTGCCCTAACTGTGGATACGCTCTGCTGACAAAGAGAGCGAGTGTGAACATGACATTCCGATTTTTATTATGCCGATCTTTGAGTGTCGACATCACTTTTATCAACAAAACTTGGTAGTGTAGATAAGGCCTAGGATCTGTGGCACTGCCTGTGACAAGGAAAGGACTAGTTATTATTAAAGTGATTCGTTCCAGTTCTTTTGATTTGGATAACATGGTCTTTGATCTTGTTCCAGATGTGTGAAATTCAACAGTAGCTTTCTACAGAGAATATTTATTATTAGAGAATCTTTGTCATTTCAGGGTGATCACTAGAAAGCATTTTCAATTGCAAAACTTGAATGTGGTCCATATCTAAGCTCAAAGAGGAGATCACACTTACAAATTAAAATTGACTAGCACTGTACCTTCAAAAAAAAAAAAAAAAAAAGCAAAATGAAATACGTATATATATATATCTATTTATATTTTACCTGAAAAATCAACAGCACAAACGCCATACTGGTGATAGCCCTTTAATACTGACAGTGGTTTGATTGTCTCTGTATCCCAAATGTGTATTGAGGAATCCCGACCAACCTAAAATATAAAGGATTTTAGGCATTCTTTTGTATCTTGTAGTTGGTCATCATATTTTGTATTTTTGCTCAAAATAATAATTTTACCTTAAAATTTTAATTACATCAGTAAATAAACTGAAAAAATTAAAGTGATGATGTACTTCTCCCTCCTACCTCGTCTATCAAAATACCAAATATTATTGTAGTTCTGAAGTATCAACATGAAAATTCTCCCTCCTTCCTCTCACCTGTCACTCCCTCTCTGGCTGGCCCTCTCTTCCTTCCAGGGAAGTGAAGAACTTGAAAAAATTAAATACAATTAACTAACCTTACAATGGAATTCTACACTGAAAAGAGTTTTTTGAGGGGGGGGCTTACGTGTTTATTGTCTCAGTTATTTCTATGTCAGTTGTTTTCAGTTTACAAATAAAACTAATAGCTTGTAAAGTACTCTAGGCTCGAGAGCCAAACATAACTTCTTTCCTTTTCATGCATCATTACCAGTAATAAAGGTTTTGCAGGTCAAATTAGGTGATACCTATGCAATTCTATTACTTTCAGTAAGTTTGCAGCAATGCAGATGACTCAACTTTAGGAGAAAAGTTTCTTGGTGTCAAGTGTATTCTCTTTTAGCTATGTTGAGTGTGCAGGCATTACTAGTCTTTAGTTATCTGATCGCTTACTATTTGTTCTACAGTATCTGTGCCTCATTCAATACACAAATTGGCAGCTACCGAGGCAGACAGCTGCAGAAAAACAAAGGGCATTCCAATCTGGTTTAAGGCACCAGACTAGGACCTAGGGTTCTACTTGGTTCTGCCACATATTTACTACATGATGTCAGGCAAGCCTATCATTATGTGCATACCGGGGGGACTGAGGGGGACGCTGAATCAACATTGTACGGGCAATCTGAATTATAACATTTCTTAATTTAAGTGCCTGACTTTGCAATCTTAGTGTTGTTTTAATACATATTTTAGAATCTACTGTATCTTAGGTAAATTTTTATTCAAATATTTTCATCTTTCAAAAGTCAGTACATAAACGTGTACTATATAAAACTTAAAGCGGTTTACTATATAATCAAAAATCTCTAACTAGGCCAATTTGTTTGCTTAATCTCAAACATACTTTTTACCCAGACTACAAATATTACCAACATAAGTGTAAATTCTTTACTAAGAATTTGGTGAGCTGTCTAGTTAATAATCATTTGTCTTTATCTATACCAACACAGTTTCTTAGCCTCTGGGTTCACTAATTAAAACTCAAAATAGTCTCTCAAAATCAAGCCATAAATTCTAGACGTGAGAACAAAGCTTTTGAAAGAAGATGTTTATCAGAAAAGGATGCCTGTTAAAAAGTATTAAATGTATGTACTATCTGGAGATTGATAAAATAGCATCTTATTGTAAATAATAACAGCACTGAGATTTTGAGCATACATATAGAATTCAGACATATGATCATATAAAACAGTCTGGAAATCCAGAATATGAGAAAATTTGCTTTTGACAGATACCTTTAACAATATAAAAATGTTATATGTATTCAGTTTTTTTCTATATGTTATCTTACAGTGGCAACACAATATAATGTCGATTTAAAAAAAATGTTAATTTATTCATGCTCATTTGAGAGTTAATCAGTTATAAACTCAGTCAGTTGTCAAAATTGATGAAATATATCTAACTGGAAAAAAGTAGGGCTGTTGATTAATTGCAGTTAACTCATACGATTAACCAAAAAAAAATAACTGTGATTAAAAAAATTAATGGCGAATAATAGCACTGTTAAACAATAGAATACCAATTGAAATTTATTAAATATTTTTGGATGTTTGTCTACATTTTAAAATATATTGATTTAAATTACAATACAGAATATAAAGTGTACAGTGCTCACTTTATATTATTATTTTTATTACAAATATTTGCACTGTAAAAATGATAAACAAAAGAAATAGTATTTTTCAATTCACCTCATACAAGAACTGTAGTGCAATCTCTTTATCATGAAAGTGTAACTTACAAATGTAGACTTTTTTTTTGTTACATAACTGCACTCAAAAACAAAACAGTGTAAAACTTTAGAGCCTACAAGTCGACTCAGTCCTACTTCTTGTTCAGCCAATTGCTAAGACAAACAAATTTGTTTACATTTATGGGAGATAATGCTGCCAGCTTCTTATTTACAATGTCACCTAACAGTGAGAACAGGCATTCACATGGCACTTTTGTAGCCGGCTTTGCAAGGTCAAGGTATTTACGTACCAGATATGCTAAACATTCGTATGCCCCTTCATGCTTCGGCCATCATTCCAGAGAACATGCTTCCATGCCGATGATGCTCATTAAAAAAATAATGCATTAAGTAAGTTTGTGACTGAACTCCTTGGGGGAGAATTGTATGTCTTCTACTCTGTTTTACCCACATTCTGCTATATATTTCATGTATCATCAGGTAGCCGTGTTAGTCTATATCCACAAAAACAACAAGGAGTCTGGTGGCACCTTAAAGACTAACAGAAAGTGGGTTTTTTACCCACGAAAGCTTATACCCAAATAAATCTGTTAGTCTTTCAGGTGCTACCAGACTTCTTCTTGTTTTTATATATTTCATGTTATAGCAGTCTCGGATGATGACCCAGCAAATTTTCGTGTTAAGAACATTTTCACAGCAGATTGGTACCTTCTTTGCGTTTTGTCAAATGTGAGATTTCTAAGGATAGATACAGCACTCGACCCAAGGTTTAAGAATCTGAAGTGCCTTCCAAAATCTGAAAGAGACGAGGAGTGGAGCATGCTTTGAGAAGTCTTAAAAGAGCAACACTCTGATGCGGAAACTACAGAACTCGAACCAACAAAAAAGACATTGTAAACAAGACGTGAGCAGCATTATCTCGTGCAAATTGTAACCAAACTTGTCTGAGTGACTGGCTGAAGTAGGACTGAGTGGACTTGTAGGTTCTAAAGTTTTACATTGTTTTATTTTTGAATGCAGTTATTTTTTGTATATAATTCTACATTTGCAAGTTCAATTTTCATTATAAAGAGATTGCACTACAGTACTTGTATTAGGTGAATTGAAAAATACTATTTCTTTTGTTTTTTACAGTGCAAATATTTGTAATCAAAAATAAATATAAAGTGAGCACTGTACACATTGTATTCTGTAATTGAAATCAATATATTTGAAAATGTAGAAAACATCCAAAAATATTTAAATAAATGGTATTCTATTATTGTTTAACAGTGCGATTAATCGCGATTAATTTTTTTAATCGCTTGGCAGCCCTAGAAAAAAGCTGAGGTTCTCAATTTTTAGACCTCTCTCTGTCCCCAACACAATTTCAAAAATTCACCTGCATATTTGTAAACTGCAAAATCCTAAATATGCATGTGTAAATTTACTAAAGTACTGTAACTTCAAATTTCTAATGCATATAAACATGTATCCTACCTGGCCTGTTGCCACGTAGTCCTTTAAGGGATGAATAGCAAGGCAAAGAATGTCATCATCATGACCCAGATAAAAGCGCTGCGTGTTCTGCTGCCGATTGTATACTACGCCCACTGCTGCAACATGGTATACAATTTCACCAGTCTGAGTGTAAAATAGATTACTCCGACAATCATAACCTCTGTAACTAATTAAAAAAATAGTTTTTAGATCAAGATCACAAGCATAGATGCTAAGTAGATAACAATATAAAAACAATCAGGACACATTTAATTCTTAAATTAGGTAACACCTCAGAAATGATATACCAAGTACTACATAGGAGTATTAAAAATGATTCACATCTCTATTCCCAAAGAATACCATTTTACAAATTTCAAATAATATGCAAAGATCATTACATCTACCCTTAACTTGAAAGAGAACGTTTATTAACAGTAATGCTTTACAAGAAGTTTAGAACAGAAAGTAAAGACTAATATTGTTTTCCAAATGAAACTGCAGGGGGAATTTAGTTAGACTGCATGCAATTGTACAGGTTGGAATTTGTCTGGAATACCAGGCTTAACATTTTCTTTCTACATCACAAGTGGCCAAGATCCTGGGTGAATTTGGTCAGGAGTTTTCAGTCAAAATGATTTTTCAATGGAAAATGCATTTTCTTTCAGGTTGGTTCAACCCAGATCAAAACATTTCAGTTTGTTGAACTGAGCTAAAACATTTTGTTTTGAATCAGTTTAGTGTTCAACTGCACCTGCCTGTGGTACTGCAGTGTTTCATGCCTCATTCTCTCTTAAAGGCTAGGGTTTGGGGCTGGACTTCATCTCTCTTGAGGCACCACAGTTTCTCTTTTAACCCAACTGTGTGGTGCATCGTGGGAGTCATGTGACTGTGGCTGCATCATGGGAGATGTAGTCCAGTTGATAAGGAAAAATGAAAGCATGAGGCACCCAAAATACAACTCCCAGAACGAAATGCAACAGCACAGGCAGATGCAGTTGTCCAAAAGACTCAAAATAAAGCATTTAGTTTCAATGAACATGTCAAAACAAATCATTTTTGCCATCTCAAAATCTAAATCTTTGGAACTTTTCTTTCAAAGATTTGGATATTTCAAATTTTTGTCCTGATTTGACACAAAAACAAATATTGAAATATTAGAATTTCTCACAGGACAGAAATTCTGCTTTTCATTTAGCGCTAGTCTTTGGTTTTGAGTGTAGCTCATGATTCAGTAGGTGGCACTTTGGTTGACTTCTGGGTCAAAACAATACTCCATCAGCAAAGGGCTCCATTACCACAATGCTGGAGTATTGTTTTGAGCCAGTAGTCAACCAAAGTGCCACCTACCGATTCATGCAGTACTGAGGAGTTGCAGTACCTGCGTTACTTCTTGCAGTATCAAGGAGTTTTTTGGAGTCTATCATTCAAGTAGTGAGCCAAAACCTACTTAGTCTGTGAAATCTAAGAGGATCGCAGAACAAAATAATATGATGACTCCAGGCAGTATATCTGTGTCATGATCAGAAATAAAAATATCTTTACTGTAAGTACATACCAAAAAAAAATGACATGAAGGATTTATCATGCCATCAGAATCCCAAAACATCTACTGGCTGTATCCTTCCCAATGTCAAAGATCCTTTTGCCATCACCAATCTGATGGCTGGCTCCTCCCAGAGGAATTCCTCCTGACACCTATTCAAGGATGCCTCCCCTCTTCACTTTCTCATTCCAGAAACCCACTTTGACTCCTTTGCTTAGGCTGGCTCCATTGCTCTTTATCTAGCTCGGTAAGTATGCCATAGCCATCACTGTGCACAATCATGGCTTTTACTACCATCATTATGCTGATGATTCACAAATCTACCCCTCTATTGATAAGTTATCTCCCATCATCCAATGTAGTATCTTGGTCTTCTTTCTGACATCTCTTTGTGGATGTCCACTTGGCATCTTAAGCTCAGCATAACCAAAACTGAGCATTTGACCTTTCCTCACAAGTCCTTCCCTCTGCTCCCACTCTCTATCACCATGGTCAACGCTATCATCACCCCAGTCTTTCAGGCCCACAACCTAGGTGTCATTTTTCACTTGGTCTTCTCATTGCACCCACACATTCAAGCCATTTATAAATCTTGCCTCTTTTTCGTGGGCAACATCTCTGAAATCAAGCCTTTCCTCTGACTACAAACTGAAAACTCACATCCTTTTATCATCATTTCATGCCTTCCCTATTACAACTTTTCTTCACTCCTCCAATCTATTTAGAATGCTGCTGCTGAAATAATCTTTGAGGTTTGTCACTCTGACCAAATCAACCTCCTCTTTACGTTTCCTCCACTGGCTACTCATTCAGCTCCACATCAAACACAAGCCTCTTGTTTTAAACTTTAAGGACATTCATAACTTAATCCCATTGTAGCTATCTGATCTAGTTACCAATAGTGATCCACCAGCATTCCCAGCCTTTGTCTCCCAAAAGTTAGCTTCTCCATTAAATATCTCCATGCTTACTCCCATGACAGTTATCTGTAATTATGATTTAAGTTTGTATACTATAACATCAGAAGGCAATCTGTCTTATTTGAATCACTGACACTCATTACAGATAACACACAGTGAGGCTACCTGCCTCATTGTAAAGTGACTATTCACAGTCAGCAGGAGAGGCACATTCAGTAAATATGTAAAGTTCTTTTGTAAAGCAGACTTAAGCATACAACTCAGAGCAACATGTTGATTTATGTTTTGAGCATCCATTGCTCTCAAATACTTGTGAAGAAACACTTATATAACTTCATGAACAATTTTACATCTTCTGTAGATCCAACAAGGAGAGGTTATTTAACAGCAGTCACTATAGTTCTTGGAGAATACTGACTCTACATATTCATGCTGTGGAGATGTGCTGTCAGCACTGCCCAGCTTTGGAAACTTCTGTGCCCACTGAACAGTGCATGAACAACCCACAGCAGACCCTTAACTCCCTGACTCCAGGACTTGCTCCTCACTTTGCTTTCTGTTTAAAGATAGAAGAAAGCAGATAAAAAACAACATTATTTGGTCCCGCCCCCCCAAGTTTCTGAAGCCACCATAAAAGGCCCAGGAATGTATGAAAAAGAATGTATTGGAAAAAAATTATAGCTACAAGATATATAAAACGTAAGCTATTAATAAAAAGTGTCTGTAGTGGCTTGGAGTGGTCCCTCCCTGTCAGTGTCAGAGGGAGACCACTTCGACTCGCTACGCCACCTAGCACCTGAGAGCTGATCAACAGGGGATTAGCAAAGTAAGTCAGTAAAGAGTCTAGGGCGCTGGCCCCTCATGACAGGACAATTGGCAGCCTTTAGCCCAGCCCCCTGGCAGGGGCGGAAAACCACCACAATCAGGCTCAGGCCCTCTGGGCCGGGCAGAGCAATAACAGTCTGGCTGGAGCAGGCAGCAAGCAGGTCAGGCTCCGCCCTCTAAGCAGCGCAGAGCAATAGTACACAGTCAGGCTCAAGACCTCTCAGAGGGCCGAGAAAAAGAAGTCTATGACCCACCTCCTTGGCTGGGCAGACAGCAAACAACTGCAGGCCATTCGGCCTATGGTGGGTGGGCTGCCAACCCAGGGTGGGGTTGGCAGCAGTGGGTAGGGGGACCCAGGCCCACCCTAGGGACCAGGGCCCTAACAGTGGCAGGAAATCCTGCCACTGGGTCAGCGGGGATCCTGCCAAAACATGCTGACCATGGTTTCAGCAACACAACCGGACTACTGTCTGGTTTCCCTGGGCTACTTCCTACCCATACCTGTTCGTAGGGCTTAATCACTCATGGGCCCTCAGGCTCCTTGGGATACTCCGCCACTGGCAGTTCCAGCAGCTCCTCAGGGTATTTGCCTGGCAGCAGCTCTTCCTGGTATTACTTCAGAAGTAAGGGTTGATAGAGCTCAGTCGCTGGTTCAGGGGCCAGCAACAAGGCAGCAACATCTGACTCCTTCCCTGGCTCTCCCTCAACTGAGCTGGAGGCTCTGCCTCTTATACTTCTTGTTCAGCCTGGCTCTGCCCACCCCGGGGCGGGGAGTCCTCCCTGTCAGAGTCAGAGGGAGGCCACTCTGCCTCGCTACAGTGTTTTAGTGCAAAACAGTTTAGAGATGGTTGGAAATTTGAACCAGAATTTGGTGAATCAGACTCAGTAATGGAACAATCCTACCCAGAGCACAGTCTCCTATCTATTTGTCAGACTCTGACACAAACAACTCCAATGAATGGTTTACAGTTGATGAATGATAACGTGGTCCAAAAGTGACTAGATGAAACCAAAGGAATCAAGCAGGAGGATCAGCAAGATGAAACTCCAGAACCCAATGACCTAGAGAAGGATGAGCTGGAGCTGGATTCTGAGAGACTCCTTGGGACCATTAAAGAAAAGCAGCCATACAGACTGGAGTGTAGGTACAATATGTACCATAAACAAAGCACCACAAAATAAATGGACAGCTGCACACTGAATTAGCTGAAGTTGCCAAATCATCTTCAAGTAATGTTTCAAGTACAACATACATAAGTGAGGCTATATGGAGGTGACAAAGGTATGGGTTGTCAAGTCAGTTGACTTGCAAGTCACTTGCAAAAGAAAAAAATAACCTCCTCGTAAAATGAATATTTACAAAAACTGATTGCTGCTATCTTGGCATCTAGAACAAGCTGAAGAGCCAACATGATCCCAAATTTGTGAACACTAGGTTTCAAGTTACATATTGACTCAAACATGGGCAATATTAATAAATGCCTTGTCCAAAGGTTATTAATAAACAATTGAATAAGACTGGTCCCAAAACCAATCCCTGAGGAATTCCACTAGTAACCTCTCTCCAGTCTGATACCTCACCTTAGCCAGTTCCTTATCCATCTTACAATTCTAGTACCGATCCCCATCTTCTCTAATTTAACAAATACTTTCCTATGTGGTACTGTGTCAAATTCTTGACTGAAGTCCAAATATATTAGACGTACTGCATTTCCCTTATCTAAGAAATCAGTTATTTTTTCAAGAATGGAAATCAGGTAGTCTGGCATGATCTACCTTTGGTACATCCATGTTACATTACATCCCCTTTACCATTCATCTAATTATTCTTTCCTTAATAATTTGTTCTAAAGCCTTGCATACTACTGAGATAAGATAACCAGAATTGTAATTTCCCAGATCACTTCTTTTCCCTTTCTTAAATATAGATATCACATTAGCTATTCTCCAGTCAAATGGTACTACTCGTAAATAAAGAATTATTAAACATCCTTGCTACCAAACTAGCAAACCCATGTGCCAGTGCTTTCTGTATTCCATGATGAAAGATATCCAATTCCCCTGATTTGAGCACACTAAGCTCTAAGTTTTCCTTCCACCTTAGATGTGGTGATTTTCATTTCTAGCACTCATTTCCTTCAGCCGTATTGCCTTCATGCACATGTTCCATGTTAGCATCCTTATTGATAACTGAGGTCAAATATTCATTTAGTTTTGGGGCTATACCTAGATTACCTTTGAACTCCTTCGCATCCACACGGCATAGCAGCCCAACCACACCCTTAGTTATTCTCTTTTTATTTATATAACTAAAAAACCTCAATATTTATTTTAATTTCCTTGGCAAGAGCTAATTCAGTTTGACTTGTAGCAAATTTCAATGACATTTTCTAACCTTCACAATGTAGCTTTCTTTGCAGATCAACCCCTTTTTCCATTTCCTACAGGGTCTCTGTTTACTTCTAATAACCTTTTTGACGTGGTTATTCATCTAACTTGGTTCACAACTTTCCTTACAAGTTTTTTCCTTTGCTGGGGATGCCAATTTCAGATAATTTTTGAATAACTGATTTGAAGAAATGTCATGCCTCCTACACATTTGAGTCCTTGAGTTGTTCAGTCCAGTTGACTTCTTTGATTAATTCCCTTAATTTCCCAAAGTCTGCTTTTTTAAAATCATTTCAGAAACCAACCCTAGAGGAAATCTCTAAAAGGTGTTTAGTGGCATTTAGGATGGCGAGCATCAGTGTCTCATTTGACAAAATTTGCACAGTATCATCATAACCTTCGTAATATGCATTTATCAAACCTCACAAAGCAGATTTCCATTCTGCCACAGAGTCATCGTTTGGTAGGAAGTGCAATATTAGTTGGTTTCCATATACTTCCTTAAAATTTTTTTGTTTAATACAGGGAGGAAGTTATATTTCTGCCTATTATTCTAATGTAATAACTATAATATTTTTCTTAATTCCCTCCACTTCCCTTCTTTTAATAGAAATACTTTCAGTTATGAAAAATAATGGGGAAAATTACTATTAATCCTGAAAAAATATTCAGATATAGCCCAGGTTCAAGACTTCAATGAGTTTTAACAATTTGGGAAGTATGAAGTATTATTCAGTTACTGAGTTTATTAGATTCAAAAAAGATGTGAAACTGGGTATGAAGTTTCTTAAAGGGCCAATTTTGAATTAAATTCCTAAATTAATACATTTACTTGTAAATTCTCCAAAAATTAGTTCTTTATTCAAAGAGTATGTGCTGAATTTTGGGGAGGACATGCTATATTTTTCTTAGATAACAAAGAGGCTGATACCCTGCTTTAAGTAGAAAACTCAACTCAGTCTTAACTATAGAGTCACTGGTAAAGCCAGAGAAAGAGAGATTCATTCCCAGAAGCAAAAAAATATGGTAAGTGACATTCAAGTCTTATATTTGGAAAGCACTATAAAATAATGACACACCAACTGAGTTACCAGTAGGAATTTCATGGTGTAATCTAGCTGGGCAGCAAAACCACTGCAGTATATAAATTTAGTTTAAAGACTTGTGTGGCTGTAAAAAGTGTCTAAAATACAGCATCTGATCTTAATAATTTTCACTTGGTTCATCACATATTTAAATCTTACATTTATATATTTGTTGCCACAACTTTATAACAGAAAATGAATCTTTCCAGGCTGCTTTTAGAGAAAACTCAATTTTTCATACCCATGGACAAAGTGTAATCTTATACTGTTCCCTGGAGCTCTCTCTCTTCTTTTAGAAGCTGCACTTTTTCGTTTTTCTTTGCATTGCTCTTTAAGCTGAGGTAGATCTTCTTTGTAAACCTTTATGAAAGAGTACACATACATATAAACAAATATGTTTTCAGGAAGAACAAGTATCTAAGAAATAAACCTATAGATCAGCTCAGTTTCAGAATGGCACATTGACATTACTGCAAACATTTGCAATGACTGTAGCCAACTGGGCATACAATTTGTTTTTAAATTACAAACAATACAGCATGATATGAAGTGTTGTGAATACATCCAGTCACTGAGCTTTCTGTTGTCTTTGAATGTGTCAGCTACTGGCAATGGGCCAAATCCTAACATCCTTGCTCAATTTCTATTCAGTCCTTACTCAGGTAAAACTCCCATTGACTTCAGCGCTTTTCTTGAGAAAGGACCAAGTAAACCCTTGGGAAATATTTCAGGATTTGTCCCTGTGCCATTAAAACTCAAGTCTTACCTGTCGACGGTATGTGATCTGAGTCTCTTGTTCAATTTCAGAGTCTAGCTCTGGAACATCAGATTGATCTGAATCTGATTCATCACTGTTAGAATCAACCAGACTTTCTGTGATCAAGAAAACCAAAACGTAGATGGAAACAATTAATTAAAATAGTACATGGTTCAGAAAAATACTGCAACACTTCTGGCTTATGCCTGACTGCTGATATTTACTACAACATGAGCTACTAAACCATGATAAGATCATCTGAAATTATCATCAGTTCTCTTAATATAACAGTACTTTCAAATTTGGACTGCTTGCTTTTTTCTTCCTTTTTGATAGCTAGGCTTCACATATTAAACTCACTTCACAGGCAGTGTGGTCCAGTGGACAGGGCACTTGACTGGAAGCCCTGGATTCCATTCTTGGCTCTGTGAATGAGCTGCTAAGTGAACCTGGGCAAGATGTGTCTGTACCTTAGCTTCCCCTACTGATGACCTCTTGTGGTCCCTTCCAGCCCTACATTTCTCTGTTTCTATAATATGTATGCACAAAAGCAGGTTTTTGTAGATACAAGTTTATTCACCTTTGAATATTGGACCCAGTGCATCATATTTACTTTTGGGAGCAGATTTCAGAGGCATGGGTCCTCCACTGACAATGTCTTGTTACCAGATATGTAAAGTTTAAATTCTGGAGCCAACAGTGAGAATGACCCAACAGATTTTAACTTCAGTGGTGGTTCAAGAGCAGAAAGCCCCTTTCACATAAATGGATCTTAGATCATTGAGGGATCATAACAAAGAAAGTGAATTACACACAAATGTAGACATATACATACTACAGAGAACTGGTGATACGTGCCTGAGATTCTGAAACACATTGGTGAAGACTAATGTTACATTTGCAACTGTTCATGTTATTAGATACTTCCCCATATTATTAGATTCACTTCTGTCTTACTGCAAATGAGCTCTAATCAATTCACTCACATCCATTCTCATTTCCATGAGGTATTGTAAAAGCACAAAGATCTCAGTATCAGAGGGTCACAGGTGGGGGCTGCCCCATATTGCCGCCTGCGGGATCAAATGTAGTATTGCAGGTGTCCCTTTCCTTAGTCCACAAGTTAGGGCTGTGTGGTTGGAACAGAGCGGACTGTGCCATAAGCTTGGAGTTAAATAATAGCAAATTCAGAATCTGTCTGCACCTTTAAATAAACAAATGAAACCTCAAAGGCAAGCACTTAGTTGCAGTGCTAGAAGGCAAGACCCTGACCTGGCCCTGGGGTTCTGGGCTAGCACTGAAAATCTCATCTGTCCCAGTCTCACCCAGTTCTGACCCTGAGTATTAGCAAACAAGCCTTCTTAACTGGCCTGCTGGCTCTTGATTGGTCAGTGTCCCCTCTTAGCCCTGCAAACCTCTGGAGGACTGTGCCTTGTTGATAGCCCAGCCTGAGCAAGGAAGTATTCAGGGTGATGCCTCCACCAGGGGGACAGGGAAGGCCTGACAGGCTCCATCAGATGGAGTTTGATCAAATGCACATTTAAGTCATCTGATTATTGGTGGCACTGCCAGAAAAGCATATAATTTGTCTTTCCTAACAGCTGTACGTACATACTGAATAGGATGGGAACTTAGTTGCAACCTTGTAGGGGTCCCAGTTGTGAGAATGTGAGGAAAAAAGAGGAAATATTCATCACTCCTTTTTTGGATTTCTCTGAGAAAGTAAGCAATCAATAGAATCTAAAATTGCCATTAAAGCCAACAAAACCAGCATGAATATTTTATTTCTGCCCACTGACAGAAAGAGCCTATCAGTCAGAAAATACTGCCTCCATACTAAAACCATACTCAAAATCACACTGCTAGGCACAGGGATCAAAGATATATATATGAGAAGGATGCATCTAGAGTTGCTCAAAAAGCACATTTTCAGCCACAGAAAGCAAGGGACTATCAAGTAGCTTAAACTGAGCTCTCCTAGCATATCAAAATCACCTTACTAAATGTAATCATGCAGAATGGCATACATTTTGTGCATAGTTTTAATTAACAGTTGTATTGTATAAGCATTATTTGACAAGGTGGAACGATTTAAATCAAGGCAATTTAAATAATGGATTTTAATTGAGATCTGCTGATGAAAAATGCTATGCAAGAGAGCACTATTATTATTAATTATTACTACTATTATTTAAATCTCCTGACTAAAAAAAATATTAAATCAGTTGTGCAATCTAATTTGAAAATCTGTGCTATTGCAATTTCAGATTAAAATTGAATGAACTAATATTAAATACTGATTTTTAAAAACTGATTTATTTCAGTGTCACTATTACTAAGGTATTTTATTTGAATTGGACAAATTTCTAGAGGAAAAAACAATGTAGCACAATTGTTTTGCCATGATACCCTTCCAAATAGCAACTTTTTCCTACCCACGATTACCTTTTATTCTTAAGCATAAAGGCCTACATTTTCAAAAGTGAGTGCTGATTTTGGGTACCTCAACTTGTAGGCTCCTGTCTTGAGACACCTTAAAGAAGCCTAATTTTCATAATCACTGAACACTTACCCTTTGAAATTCAGGCAACCTTTGAAGGTCTCAAGTTGAGCACCCAGAAACTGAGTTGCCCCAAATCAGTAGTAACTTTTGAAAATTTAAAACAAAAACTCTTCAAATTAAGATACTCTTATATTGACTTTAATGGGACTATTCATATATGTAATGATAAGCATGGGCATAAATGTTTGTGGGATTCAGACCATGAACTATAAAATATTTATTAGACGATTAACTGACAGGTCTATGAGCGGTTGGGAGAGAGAGACAGAAAAAACTGTCCTCTGTATGTGCCCTGAGCAATAAGACGTGGGAATGAGATCAGCTAGATCTAAAACTTTAATGAATATTCTCAAAAAACAATGTTACTAAACAATTACGAAATTCTAATTAAAAGAGTAAGTATAAAACATCCACTTTTTCAGCATACCACTACAAAATAAGAATGTATTAAAACAAGGCAATTTAAATAAAAGCCTGATATAATTAAAAGAATGGTTTTTTGGAAATTCATTATTTGTATCAAGATCATACACTATATACAATACCATATTATATTTATTTGCAAAATAATTAATTAAACATGCTTTTGGGACAAAAAAGTTCTCGTCTCAAGACTACAACTCAATTCTCGACGTGTCCCATTTAGCCTAGTTTATAGATATATAAAGAAACCCCTTGTAAAACTGTTAAATAAAAGTCATTGATATAGTGCATTAATGTTGACATAGATAAATAAAGCTCCAGTCCTGCAAGGACTTAGGCACATGTTTTACTTTATGGACTGTGAGTAAAGTTAAGCACATGTATCTTTGCAGGATTGAGGCCTAAATCTGATCTTTAACTCTAATTATGCAAGTTAGAGATGGGATACTTGAAGGGCCCATAGCTTGCTTCTGTTCTAAACTGAGAGCCTTGATTGAGAAATCTCAAACACACGAGTTAATGCTTTAGAATTTAAATAATTAAATTGATGCATGTTAAATCTTACGTCACTGATTACATACTCAATGAAAGCATATTATTACACATTTCCTCAAGTAACTAAAATAATTCATTTGCAAATACGGTGGCCAACTTTCTAATTTGTGAAAACCGGACACTGAGCACTGGAATCTCCCCCACTTCCTGTTCGGCCTTTTCCCCAGAGGCCCTGCCACTTGCTCCACCTCTTCCTCTTGAGGCCCCAGCCCCTGCTCCTCTTCCTCCCCCCCACCATCACTCGCTGCTCTCTCCACTGCCCTCCCCTTGCCAGCTAAGCAGGGCTCAAGGGGTGACTGGGGCAGGACACCGGAGAGAGAGCCAGGCTCCGGGGTGGAGAGGTGAGTGGGGCAGGACGGGGGAGGGAGAGCTACGCTCCAGGGGTGGAGAGGTGAGTGGGGCAGGGCGGGGAAGGAAGAGCCATGCCCCGGGGGTGGAGAGGTGAGTGGGGCAGGGCAGGTAAGGGAGAGCTGCGCTCTGGGGGTGGGAGGGTAACCGGGGCTGGGCAGGGAAGGGAGAGCCACACTCTGGGGGTGGAGGGGTGAGTGGGCCAGGACAGAGCAGGGAGACCCATGCTCTGGGATGGAGAGGTGAGTGGGGCAGGACAGGGCAGGGAGAGCCACACTCGGCGCAGGATGGGAGAGCCGCTAGTACCTCTCTCTGTTGGAGCCATTCCAGAGTGCTCCGCTGCTCCTCCAGATTCCAACAGCAGCTGCTGCTTTTTCTCACCTCCCGGTGGTGGAGACCAGGGACTGCAGGTAATCGGGCTTTTAGTGTCCAGTCAGCAGTGTGACTGGACACTGCCAGGCTCCCTTTTCGACTGGACTTTCCAATCGAAAAACGACCTTGCAACCCTATTACAATTCTGGTATGTTTATAGTGGTGATGCTTAAAACTCTTCAATATTGTCTTTGCACTTACAGGACACGAGGAAAGTGATGAGTATATTTGCCAAATCTCTCTCTACTTATAATAGGAAGTATCAACAAATATTGGGGTTATGTTATTAGCTACCTCAGGCAACTGCAAAATTTTAAGGATGATCAATGCATAAGGTTAGATAATTCTGAATATGTATAAATTATTTTGATACTTATATTAACCTTTTTCACCTTTTTTTTTTAAACATAAAAGAATGTTATGCACTCTCACCTTGGGGTGCTATGTGAATAGCATCCTTCAGCTTCCGTTCAGGAATGAATTTCCACTGGAAGACAGAATGATCAGCTCCACCAATAGAAACAACCCACTGATGATCATGTGACCATCTGACATTTGTCACATGAGCTGAATGCCCAAGATATTTTTTAAACTTTGCTCCTAGAACAAGGGCGTGGGGAGAAGGGGAAGAAAGCATTTTCAGTGTATTCAGAATAAATCTTTCAAAAGCACAATGATTTAAAAACAGGGAACATTTCTATACAATGTGTGAAAAAATAACCATTAAGCTTTAAGTAAAAAAAAAATCTGCTCACTAGATGCCACCAATCTGGATAACTAGAATTCCATTTGCTCTGCTTTGTAACAGGAAGATGGATCGATAAAGAGTCACAAAATTATGATACCATTCCCAGCCTCTAATCCGCCTAATTTTACTTTCATGCACCAGTTAATAACAGATGAAAAAGCAGAGGCAGAAAGGAAGGAGGGACATGGTAGGCTTTCATGAAGTTTACTACATTAGAATCACTTTCCCTGCCATCACAGGGTGGCATTTTAATTTTTATTTACACATATTTAATTGGGGTCCCCTCACTGGGCTATCTGAAAGCTTAGAGTGCCAGCTCCCACTTTTCCCATTGAAAAGCTTTGAGTGTTAAGCAATTCTTGCCAGGCATACTCATCACTACTATTACATCTGGTTAGCTCTGTTACCAAATCCTGCATAACAAACTCAAAATTCAGATATATGTCAAAAAGAAATTGGCTTCACAGAACTCATTGAAGGCATTCTCATTATTTCTATTCAGCAGGTTCATTTGCTGTTTAATTAGTCATGCTCAAAACTGCTTAAAAGAAGGAGAAAGCTGGTTTCTTTTAGATTTTCTGAAAATTCTTCTTAGGACAGGGTTTTTGGTTTATCTCACTTAGCAACTAGCAAAAGCCTTAAGGCTATCAAAAGAAAAAAAATCTGAAGGACTTCTTAAACTGTGTTTGCAAAAGGGAATAAGGCAAAATAGCATTAGATATTCATGCCATTGTTGAGTGGCACAAACTCATGGTAAAATTTTATTTCTATAATAGCACAAAGGTTATATGAACTTGCCTAATGTTTGTCTTCAAGCCCATTAGGTAGGTCACACTGTTAAAGCCAGGGCCATCCTGAGGGGGGCCCAGGACCTAGGGCGGAAGTGACCAACCCGTCACTTCTGGGACTGACCACGCTGGCCAATCGCACTAGCCTGCAGGGCCCCTCAAAGCGCAGGGCCAGAGCAGTTGCCCCAATTCGCTGTACCCAAGGGACGGCTCTGGTTATAGCTTGAATTAAAAAACATCAGAGAGTATGTGACCCTTAAAGAACTAGTTGATTGTAAAGTAAGTGCAGATTTACATGAGGATTCTGAGGATGTATCTAGGGCTCTAGGATCAGTTATCTGTTTCTCAAGTATCCGTAGATCATTAAGTTGTATTTCATGGATAAATTAAAGGACTCAAATCATCCTACAGTATCTAAAAAATTCAAAAGTAGTAAAAAAAATTGATTCCTTTTGATACAGATTTCTTACACGATCTAACCATAGGTAAGGCTACCATTATGTCACCAAGGTCACGGAATCCATGACTTCGATAGACCTCCATGACATTTTCTGCCCCGGGACTGGAGCTCCCAGCCAGCCCTGCTCCCGCAGCTCCCAGACCCTGCCCTGGTGGGGGGACTCCTCACAACTGTCTAGCTGCGGCGGGCAACGGGGGGGGACTCTCCACAGCTGCCCAGCCGCAGTGGGGGGACTGGCGGACCCTGCAGCTGTCC